ATATATCCAGTAAAATATAGAGGCCTATCATGTTTTGAATTCCTGACTTGCATGTCTTCTTTTGTAAAAACGATGCAAGGAAATTTGGTAGCTGCCAGATTGCAATGCTGCACTGATGACTCTGGCTTTTCAGGGTTTGGCTTGATCTGAGTAAGGAATACCTCGGAATCAGCCAAAGCTTCTTGTAAAGCTTCTCTGGTTTCTTTTGAGAGGCGCAACAACTCGTATAGCGTAATCCTTGCTGGGATATTGGCCAGCTGAGCCATAACGTCGAAACGATATGGTGCGTTCGAGCTTTCCGGTTTATCTCGTCCAATCGGTCGGCTGAAACGAGGTTGCTTCTCTTTTTGCTTGGCCGGTTGTTGCGGCTTTTCAGCAGCTACTGGAGGAGTTGTAACTATCCCCAACTCTTTCAAAGTTGTAGCATTTGGGTTAGAGGTCTCAGGATATTTATAATGATACTCATTCCCACTTCTTGTAGCGAAAACCTCTTGTTCTCCATCAGAAAGTGATAAAGCTCAGAAAGTGATAAAGCTGCTATATCCTCATCGTTCTTCTCGGGAATCGCCGAGGCTCCATAGCAGGACTTCTCCTTTCCCTTGCCTTTTGACTTCTTCTTTGATGTGGGTGTCGTCCACTGTTCATCTTCAAGCAAATCCGGATGAACCCAAAGGATTTTGCTGTTGGGAGCTGTGTGAGATACGAGCCCCTTCTGGCGCTGTCGATGAGGGTCATCGTTGATGGTTTGCATCTTGACCTTTGATACTGGCTCGGCTTGAAACCAGGACAAAGGAACCGATCCGAAGCTAATAGAGACCGCGTTTGCGCCTACCTTCTTCTCCTTTGGCTTCGGTGTCACAATACCAACATCAATCAATGTTTGAATTTTATCCTTTAAAACATAACATGTCTTAGTAGGATGGTGGACCCTTCTGTGATATGCACAATACTTTGGGTCATTGATCTTCGTTGCTTCTTCTTGGTTTGTGACCGGTGGAAGCTTGATCTTGTTGTTCTCTAACAAGTATTTGAAGATGACCGGAACTTCATCATCTTTGAAAGAGTATTCCTTTGGGAATCTGGGCTCAGAATTCTTAAACTGCTTCGAAGGCTGTTGATTCTGGTTTGGCGCCAACTGGAAGGATGATTGTTGCGGTTGTTGCGGTGGCTGTTGTGACGTCTGATGTGCGTCCACAGCGGCTACAGACCCTCTTCCTCTGCCTCGAGGGTTAAAGTTCTGCTTTTGATTTTGATTCTGATTATTAGCTGGTGGCAAACCTCGCTCCAAATTCTTTCTCTTGAGGAAGCGTTCAGCTTGTTCACCTCTTACTTTCATCTCTTTCCAAGTTTTAGAGGGAACAACCCCCACCACTTCTAATACATCCAAGGACAGATTATTATGACATGTTTGCAGAATAAATTCCTCAGTGAGTGGATCTCTGCAGTTCACCGCTTTGTCCCGGAATCGTTTGACAAAGACATCAACCGATTCCCCATCCTTCTGCTTCTCATCCAACAACGTGCCGATCGAGACTTCCGTGTCGTCGTCGAAGAAATTGGTGAGGAATAACTCTTCCATGTCTGCCCAGCTAGTGATACTCCCAGGCTTAAGGCGTCGGTACCAATCGAAGGCAGGCCCGCGAAGGGTTCCTACGAATGACCGGACCATCAGGGCTTCGTTCCCAGATATTGCGCCGAGATGCGACTTGAAATAGATCAAGTGCTGAGTTGGTGAACCCCTGCCATCAAAAGGAGTAAAGTTAATCAAATTAAATTTCTGGGGATAAGGAATCAGGTCCCACTCCCTCGGGTACGGGTATGGGATGCCCGTTTTCTTCACTTCTTGAGCCGTCATCAAAGCGTTGACTTTGCTCTCAAGATCGTGCATCTTCTTGTCCTCTTCCTCGCTTTTCTTCAAATAGATTTGTGGAGGTTGAGTGGCTGACTTGGTCGGATCGCTTCCGGAGTTATCTTTATCTGGAGGAGGATCTTCAAATATCGTCTCATCCTCTTCATTACGCCGACTGGATTCTGCTCTTTGGCTTGATTCCGGTTGGTGTTGCTGAACCTGCAAATCCCGCATCTGCTGCATGGTCAACTCTATTTCGGTTTTGAATTCAGCTCTAATTTCTTCGCGTTGTTTAGCCAACGCTTCCTGTAGTATGTGAGCCAATTGATCTGGCGTAATTGCAAATGATTCTCTGGCTTGTCCAACACTGGATGTGGTGTCGTCAGAAGCGACAGCAGAACAAGTGTCTGATAATTCTTCGTCCGAAGATAACCCCTCGTGCATTCTCTTGTAATCTCGTCGTAGGTTGGCTCTTCTTTGTAATCGCGCCATCCTTTGAGAAAGACCCTGCTCAACTCTCCCTCCCGGAGAGAAATCAGGGTCGGGGTTAGCTAACTGTTTCTTTCCTTTGTTGGTCATGTTGATAGTGACCTCAGGGAATTCATCTCGATGGATTACAGATTTTTTCTTGTTGAAACGTCTCATTTTGGGTCTTGACGCTTCATTGGACAATCTTTGAAATACGGAGACTCTTGTTGAATTATTCTTAGAGCATCCGCATTCTGTCAGCACTGCTTTGATGAGTCTCTCGCAAGCGCAATGGGACTCATTCTCTCGGACAATCCTCTTTCTTGAGTTATTCTTCTGATAGTACAGCTCGTCATTATTGTGATTCGAGCAACCTATCCTTTGCCTCTGAACTTTGTTGACATACATAGGACGACTGGTCGTCGCCTCTGAGCGATCCAAAGTTGTATTTTTGAATCCACCCCTTGCGGGAGTGGAGTTTTCATAGGTCCTAAACGAGAGTGAACTGGTATTCTCTCGTTCTGGACTTGAGTTTTCATAGGTCCTAAACGAGAGTGAACTGGTATTCTCTCGTTCTGGACTTGTGAGGTTCTCACAGGTGGGTGTTTACGACCCCCTGCATATGAAACCACTATGGGTTTATTTGCAACATCTGATGGTTGTTTAATTGGGGCTTTGCCTCGATCGTCAACCGAAGGACCGAGGCGATCTGTCATTGTCACTTTAAACTTAGACAAATCTGGGCTAACACAGGGCTTCACCGACGACGCAGTAGATGGGCCCGGAACAGATGCTTGCGGCGTCTTTGGCATCCAGACTTTATGATTTTTTGGTGACTTTTCAGACACCGTCTCTTTCTTAATTCTTTGCGCTTGTTGACGAAGAGCGCGAGTTTGGGCAGCCTTCGCCTTACGCCTTTGTATCCGTTCCTTGAGGGTTGAACGGGCCCTTTTGACGAGAGTCCACTCCTCCGTCGTAAGTTGTGCAGAAATATGATTATCTTGCCGTTGAGGCAACTGGGTCATTTTCTGTTTTCTCGACTCTAGGTCCGCATAGTAATGGACCCCGTCGGTTTGTTGCATGGCCTTAGCCAATTGTCGAGCACGGCGCTGACGCTGTCTCTGACGAGCTCTTTTCGTCAGCACCGGTGAGCTATTGATCAACGACTCCGTAACTGGTGTAGAGTCGTTTTGAGCAGGGACGTTGCAAGGAGATTCCTTAACAACGATCGAGCCAGAATCTTTGTCTGCGGCCTCCGTTGGAATTGCAGACTTGAAAGTTTTCGAAATCTTCCTATATTTGCGAGACGAGGAAGATTTCGCGGATGAGGATGATAAATACTCCTCAAACTTCGCCTGATCGAATTCGTATTCGATCTCTTCATTGATGATGATCTTGATCGGTTGCGACACCGCGGTCTCGGCAGCGAGACCGCTGGCTCCCACTGTGGTCGCCAGCTTGTTTGGTTCAAAAGTCGCTGCTGTGGAATTCATTATAACTTTGTTCGATTACAACAAATTCGAAAGAATAATCTTTTTATAAGACTTTTTCTACACAACAAAACAAAAATTACAACTCTTGAGAAACAAACACGAAAATCGTCTATCAATTCTCGTTTTCGTGGGACTTTGCCTGTGCCGGGAACGCTTTGGTTCGTGGACCGCCGATTCACAGATCGTGAAGAGGGGGCTTATGATTCTAACTTCGTTATCGAAGTAGAAATTGAAACGATATCTTATCGAAGTAAGATAGTCGTTCTTCTTAAAATCAAGTCGAAGCTTAATTTCAAGGCGTTGCAAGAAAAGAACTCAAATCTCTGCTCTCTCTGCTCTGGAATGCTCTAACAAATGCTCGATCCTCGTCAGAAGTGACCCTAGGGGGGTATTTATAGCCTCAAGGGTCTCGCTGGCGAGACAGCAAAACCTGTCTCGCTGGCGAGACAGCAAAGCCTGTCTCGCTGGCGAGACAGCAAAGCCTGTCTCGCTGGCGAGACAGCAAAGCCTGTCTCGCTGGCGAGACAGCAAAGCCTGTCTCGCTGGCGAGACAGCAAAGCCTGTCTCGCTGGCGAGACAGCTCATACTTGTTCTGATTTTTTCCAAAACACGGTATGAAATCCTTTCTTGTGATTTTTTGAGTTATCTTCTTTATGTTTGGGATATCTATTAGCATTTTTTGACGCCTACACTAGCAAATTAAGGAGCTCATGTGTAAATGTCTCAAACCATGCTAGTGAGATTTAAATCTGAATTATTCAGAAATATCAGTCCATTTAAAGTGACTTTCGGATTGATCACCATTTTCATGGGTCATCTACTTTGAGATTTGATCAACCAAGAATTTAAAATGTATGTTAATAAAGGAAGATAATGTTGCATGCATGAGATAAGCCAAGTTCCGGATCCATGAAATGCTTAACCTACCATGAGAACTCGTTAGGGGCATAAAATTGTTAATAATCACCAACACGTCAGATTTTCAATCTGAGTATTTAGTCTCTTAATTCGAACAAGTCATCTCTCCATTAACTATACGTTTCACACGATATCATGTCAATATCAGGTGATGTAAATAAATGTGTTGTTGCATATGAATTCCTAAAATTTTCATAGAGATCGTCTTGTCTCTTGTAGGTGATAAACATACGCTTCATATAAAAGATGCACATATAACAAAGAGATAATTCTATCAAGATATCAGAAAGTCTAAATACAGATAATACATTTCAAGAAGATGATGGCTGTCAAATACTCTACAGTACATTGTGTGTATATGCTTCGTAGATTGAACTTATTTCTATTTTGCACTCAAGGTATGAATCTCGATTCTATCATTAAATATATTTTAAATAGACGCTTTCGGTTGAAAAGTGAACTTACTAGTGTTTCTAATACCAAGGCAGACACGAGTTTAGCCCATGGTTTATTGTATTAATTGCCTTCACGTTAAGCTTGCATATATATGAAACTGACCGCTAAGAAAAGGCATGTACATATTAATGGAAGGGAAACTCAAGAGCTGCATGTCTCGTTTTGCCTTCACACAAGTCTTGCACTGTACCACTACCAAACTCAGTTGCTATAAATAATTAGGAACAGAGGATATTACATCTTCAAGGCATCAAGACAAACAATTAAAATCTTTAATTAGCCTAATTAATTAAGGTGGTAATTAATTAGGTGAGCTTTTGGAGATGAAGGGTGCTAGCACCATTTGGCTGGGAGTCATTCTGCTAATAGCTTTGGTACCAGGTAACTAATTACTTCAATAATTTAAGTGAGCTAGGTAAAATATTAGTTAGATACGACTGATAGCAGTCTAGCTTAACTCGTAAAATATTATCAGTGTCATTAAAGGAAAATAACGAAACTACATAATGCTCAATAATATGCAGAGATGAGAGTGCCACATGCAGAAGCTAAAGTTTGCGAGGCGCCAAGCGCAGGTTTCAAAGGGCTTTACGCGAGCGATACAAATTGTGCGCAAATCTGCATCACCGAGGGCTGGACTGGCGGCTATTGTGAAGGGCTGCGTCGTCGCTGCATGTGCCAGAAACCCTGTTGAGCTTAGTTTATTTGAGCGTCTTCACCTTGTTGGAAGTATAAGACTTTGTGTTATTTCATGGAGTGAAAAAGACTGAATAAGAGCAAAATTAGACCAATTCTCAATTATTCTCACTCTGATGTGTGTTCTCAACATTATGACTTGGTCTATCGGCTCGTTTTTTGGTCTGATCCCTATAGTGAAAAAATATCAAGTGTACTTCGGTTCATAGCATTTAGTGTGCACCAAATGAATTTCTATATTTAGATCATTAAATTTCGAGATTCAAGCACATATCTAGAGGTTGATATCATTTAGGTACACATTTAATGTCACGAGCTGTTTCCCTAAGTTTACTTGTGTCCAAAATTATGTTTTAACCTTGACCATTTGCAAGTAGTAACTTGTATATAAAATGTAACTTACAATGGAGATGTTAAAATTACAAAAATACCAATATGTTTTGCAGAAATGCAAAAGCTTACTCTCCCTTCTCCGATATTAAACAGTAAAAAAAACTTAAATGACATGAACGAGCCTTTTGTTAGAAAATTTCATGTTACTTGCTTCTAATGAGGTTGTCTAGATTAAATATTGTTTGGTGGAAAATTTGAAGTAAAAGAAACGAAGGAAAATTGATCTGTATTCCTTTAATCTCGATTACAATTGGATTTCCTGATTACAAAAGAGAGGAGAATGAATTTGATTCTCCCCTTTGTTTAATTCTGGGTTCTTCACGGTGGCGATGGAGTGCCTCCCTCGAATGCTCGCGTCGAGTTTGCTCTCCGTTGACGATCCGAACGTCTTGATTCACTGGAACGTGGTCTTCTCCTCACGATTTGATGTTATGGAGAACTCTGAACGAGTTTGAATCTCTATGAAAGAGTTGATTTAATCGAAATCGGTCTATAAGCCAAGGATGAAGAAAGCTTCTGTTGCTGATCTTCAAAGCTCCTGTAATTCCCCCCCCCCCAAGCGGTCTATAAGCCAAGGATGAAGAAAGCTTCTGTTGCTGATCTTCAAAGCTCCTGTAATTCCCCCCCCCCAAGATCTCTTCTTTGCTGTCAAAAAGAAGGATGAAAGATCCAGCCCCCGAACTGAATTGATTTTCAGTTATTTATAGAGGATTAAAGGGTGTAACCACCCCCTTAATTCGCTCCTAAGTGGGGCTAATGGGATGTAACCGCCCCTTAAATCACTCCTGAGTGGAGTTGTGATCCCCTCAGATCGTGGGAAACGGTTTTGAAACCGTTCAGCTCGTGTTTGAATGAGTCAAACGCAAATCCTGCATTCTGGAATGAAATCTGCGTTTGAACGCAGCGTCTGGAGGCTCGGACGCAGCGTTTTGTTGGAAGCTGCGTTAGCAGTTTGTTGGAAGCTGCGTTTGCGGCCGAACATGAGCTGCGTTGGCGGCCGAATCTGAGTTGTGTTTGCAGCTTTTGGAGCTGCGTTTGCAGCGTTGGAAGCTGCATCTGAGCTGCGTTTGCAGCGATTTGGAAGCTGCATTTGGCAGCGGATGGAAGCTGCGTTTGGCAGCGGATGGAAGCTGCGTTTGCAGCTTTCGGAGGTTGCGTTTGAGCTGCGTTCGTGGATATGAACACGACACATCTTGATGCTGGTACGCGGGGAGGACTTCCACGTCTTGATTTGAAGAGACCGTTGATTTGTAGTCTATTTCTGTTGAAGTGTTGCAAAGATCGTCATTTTGTAATCTTTGCTTTAGCTCTCTGATATGTGAGAGTCGTCAGATTGTAACTCCCGATGTTGATTGTGGAGGCTGTTGATTAAAGCTTTTATCAATTGTTGTGAAGGTCGTCAAATTGTAACCTTCATCGATCCACGTGAAAGTCTTCAAATTGTAGCCTTCTGGAAGTCGTCAGATTTTAACTTCCATCATTGGTGTTTGATGGGGATCAGCTATCTATTGTGATTTTTAGACAGCCTACAAATATGTATATGTTAATTATAGTCTCTTTCTTTTTTAGGATTAACCTAATTTGTTGCCTATTTCCTTTATTAATTAGATGTTTACTTTTCTAATTGTTCTTAATTAATGAAAATACATAAAAATTCTTCTCCTTACCTCTCTCATTTCTAAGTTTTAAAAAGACTCACATTACAAGCATTTAATTAATGAAACGATTGCATTTGTTCAACAGAAAAACACAATGGACAATTCACCTGATACAAAGGAAGGTCAATTAAAGCTTTACATGAATCCAGACATTTAATCATGCACTAAAAAGTAAATTAATCAATGGTCATCATTTGTTACCATAAACCAAAAGAGAAGTCAACATAATTTTCTAAAATGTAAATAGGGTATAAAAACTCTCACAACTCATAGCAAGGTTACTACCTTAATCTTTTAATTAGCTAGTAAAAAGCTAAGAGAAGTCTGTAGAATGATGAAGAAGGGCTCCCCACTTTGCATAGCAACGTTGTTGCTCATCTGCATCTTGGCTTCAGGTAATTCTTTCCTATACGCAATGATCCAAATTTTATTTGATGCGTGTGTTTTCAATTTACAAGTTTCTAAAACAAAATAATCAAATCCAATCTTTTATAAATTCTTTATGCTTGCATTCAAATATTACACCGTCATTCTCCTATCACTCAGTTTGGTGCTATTAATTTCCCAACACGGTCTTTTTTTATTCCAAATAAGATTCTGAGTTTTTTTTAGTAGTTAACCTGAACAAGATACACAGAAAAGTTGGTGATAAAATTCTAATCGAGTTTTCAAAAGAAAGACTCTGATTATATATACCGAAACCCAAAATAAGCTAACTCTAGAAGCTTAAGTCGAGTTGTCTATGAGTAGTACGACATGTCTCAGGTTCGACTCTCTTGGGGAGCATCCGTAGGAAATTAATTCATTGAAAAATCTTAAATCATATATGCATTGAGGCGTGTTCCTTAGCGACGCTCGGAGATTTTATACCCATCATTCAAACATCAAATCAAAATATATACACGCACACATGCATACAATTAAGTGGTATATTTTATCAAATGCTGCGGGAATGAACTATTTCTTTCATAACGGGATTGACTCTGGATTAACTGTATTTCCAGGCACAATTTTCACTAGATTAATATTTGTAGTACGTACTCAGCCCTTTTATTATAATTATTTTTTATTATACTAATTAATGAACATATGGTGCGTCATTTGCAGAGATGATGGTGAGTGTCAACGGTGGGTTTCTTTGCTGGACCCTTGATGATTGCAAAAAAGTGTGCGAATTGGCTGGATGTGCCGATGTAAAATGCCAAAAAAAACTCGTCTTCTACATCTGTGATTGTTGCAAGGTGGTTTGCAAATCTAATGAATGATGCGCTGCTTGCCCTCAAATAAAGTTCAAAGAACTTATTTCCTTGTACGGATTCAGTAGGCTTAATTTGGCATCGATAATAAATGCTTTTCGGACTTGTCGTCGTTGGGAATTTTACAAATTGTTTCTTTTCTCTTTTATCTTGATGATTATAAGCACATGCGTTTGGCAATCAGAAAGTAAATTGAAAGTTGAAGTAGCAACTGGCATAGCATTCACTTTTTTATACGCACCGCGTGGTTTTAAAATTACAAAAAAAAATCTTAAAAGGGTTATACGTACAGTTGTTTTCATACTCAAATTAAAAAATGGACAGTTAAAAAATGGACAATTTTACAACACTGAGTATTCAGGACAACAGCATATTCCGCCGAAATTCTCATGCATGTCTTATGCAATCAAAACCTAATTAGCTGTTTAAGGATGATCAGTTTGTCAATTATGTATAGTTAAAAAGAGTTCGTGAGTTATTCATACGTGTTACCAAATTATAAGAAAGGAAAAAGCGGAGAAAAATACATATTTCGTTCGCAAGCTCATATGGGAATCAGAGATACTCGTACCTTGAGCGATTTTGACAAGTCCTAAGAGCGATTTTGACAATTGATCAAAGTGGTTTATAGTGGCTTATAAGCCAGTATATGAGATATTTGACAAGTAACTTATTTTGGCTTATAAGGTACCAACTGTTGAGCGCTGCGGAAGCCAAACAACCAAACCAACGTGCTACGAGAAATCAAACCAAACGAACGTCGAGAGAAGGCCAAACGAACCAAATCAATGCCACAAACACAAACAAGTAATTTTAACGTGGTTCGACAAGTTGCCTACGTCCACGGGGTAAGAAAGGGATATGGTTTTTCACTAAAAGAGAAGAAGAGTATAAACTGAGATTACAAATCACTCAAACTCACCAATTAATCTCACCAACAAATCTCTAGAGAAGAAGAGTATAAACTGAGATTACAAATCACTCAAACTCACCAATTAATCTCACCAACAAATCTCTAATTCTCTCCAAACAAAACCCTAACCAATAGCTCAGAAAATACCTCTTTTCTGTGCTCCAAATATTCCCAATTTTTTTCTCAATTATCTCTTCCAATTGTTCCATATATATAGAAATCCTAAAATCATAAACATACTAGGAAATTCTAAAAAAAAAACAAAAAACAAATTAGGAATCCTAATAACCTATTACCAAAACAAATTAAGAATCATGTTACCAAAATAGATTAGGAATCCTAATAAGCCCATATTACCAAAATAGATTAGGAAGCCTAATAGCCTCATGTTACCAAAATAGATTAGAAATCATCTATCCAATAATTCTCCACATCGGCGAAGTTTTTTCAAAACTGAGCCGACACCAATACCAACCAAACGTCTCACTTGTTACGTCTAGTACGAAGTTGAACAACCAACTCCCGAATCATGGATCCCAATGTTACCTTCAAACGTGAATCGACCAAGGTCACCCTATAGATTGCTGCCTCCAAAACTCTAAGTGAAATGATATTCTTCTTTAACTGAGGAACGAACCTCACTCCAACCAATTCCCGAATCACTCCGTCACTTATCCTAATCCGAACGGCTCTAGCGAGCCTCCAAAACGACCAAACCAACATGCTATGAGAAATCAAATCAAACGAACGTCGAGAGAAGGCCAAACGAACCAAATTGATGCCACAAACACAAACAACTAATTCTAACATGGTTTGGCAAGTTGCCTACGTCCACGGGCAAGAAGGGGATATGGTTTTTCACTAATAGAGAAGAAGAGTGCAAACTGAGATTATAAATCACTCAAACTCACCAATTAATCTCACCAACAAATCTCTAATTCTCTCCAAACAAAATTCAAACCAATAGTTTAAAAAATACCTCTTTTCTGTGCTCTAAATATCCTTAATTTTCTTCTCAATTCTCTCTTCCAATTTCTTCTCCCTTTATTGTCCTAGTTCTTCCTAATCAATGGAAAAATATAAAATTTCTTCTCCCTTTCTTTTATTTTTAATAATAGGACTCACATCATAACCATGAATTAAAAGAATTGCACTGCCAATAAAATAATACAATGCACAATTCACGTTTACATATAGAAAGTTCAAAGCTTATGAGCCTCTATGAGCGCAAAGAATCCAGACATTTGTTTATGCACAAAAGAAATTAAACTAATAGATGCCTAACATTTATTAGCACAAACAAGAAGAAAGTTCTCTAATATAAATAAATAGTTGGCAAAGTTTTGTAAACTAATATAAATGAATAGAGGGTAAAACTCTCACAATTCAGAGCAAGATTAGTACTTAATATTTTAATTGGTAAAAAGCTAATAAGAGAAATCTGTAGAATGATGAAGAAGAAGGGCTCCCCACTTTGCCTAGCAATATTATTGCTAATCATCTTGGCTTCAAGTAATTCTTTCCCACATGCAGTCTAAATTTATTCATCTTTTTCGTGTTTTTGATAATTTTGTAAAAGATATAAATGATTATGCTTTCATATAAATATAACCCTTGCATTCCATCCATAACAAGATTAAATCTGGATTTACTTGTTGGCTAGAGAATCACTTAGTCTAGAGCTAGGTCTTAGAAGACTATGCATTAACTCCGGACTTCCTTAAACCGATATTAGTCAGTAAATTTATGGTGCTTTGTCTTAGAAGACTATGCATTAACTCCGGACTTCCTTAAACCGATATTAGTCAGTAAATTTATGGTGCTTTATGTAGCCCACTTTTTTAACCTTTAATTTTATTTTGCTTTGGAATTTTTGGCCCTCTTTATCTACTAAAAAATCTGGATGAATCATATTTACAGGCGCTTCCTTTTAACGTATTTAAGATCAATGCAAAGCACAATAGCAGTCTCTCACTATTATTCTGTGGGGATTTCAATTTTAGGTGGCTCATGTTAATTAATAATTCCATCTTATTGAGGTTTTGTTCGTACTTAATTGCTAACTCAAAGGAGCTCCTGTGTAAATGTTTTAAACCATGCTAGTGAGATTTAAATCTGAATTATTCAGAAATATCAGTCCATTTAAAGTGACTTTCGGATTGATCACCATTTTCATGGGTCATCTACTTTGAGATTTGATCAACCAAGAATTTAAAATGTATGTTAATAAAGGAAGATAATGTTACATGCATGAGATAAGCCAAGTTCCGGATCCATTAAATGCTTAACCTACCATGAGAACTTGTTAGGGGTATAAAATTGTTAATAATCACCAACACGTCAGATTTTCAATCTGAGTATTTAGTCTCTTAATTCAAACAAGTCATCTCTCCATTAACTATACGTTTCACACGATATCATGTCAATATGAGGTGATGTAAATAAATGTGTTGTTGCATATGAATTCCTGAAATTTTCATAGAGATCGTCTTGTCTCTTGTAGGTGATAAACATACACTTCATATAAAAGATGTACATATAACAAAGAGATAATTCTATCAAGATATCAGAAAGTCTAAATACAGATAATACATTTCAAGAAGATGATGGCTGTCAATACTCTACAGTACATTGTGTGTATATGCTTCGTAGATTGAACTTATTCCTATTTTGCACTCAAGGTATGACTCTCGATCCTATCATTAAATATATTTTAAATAGACACTTTCGGTTGAAAAGTGAACTTACTAGTGTTTCTAATACCGAGGCAGACACGAGTTTAGCCCATGGTTTATTGTATTAATTGTCTTCACGTTAAGCTTGCATATATATGAAACTGGCCGCTAAGAAAAGGCATGTACATATTAATGGAAGGGAAACTCAAGAACTGCATGCTTCTCGTTTTGCCTTCACATAAGTCTTGCACTCTACCACTACCAAACTCAGTTGCTATAAATATTTAGGAACAGAGGATATTACATCTTCAAGGCATCAAGACAAACAATTAAAATATTTAATTAGCCTAATTTTTAGGAACAGAGGATATTACATCTTCAAGGCATCAAGACAAACAATTAAAATATTTAATTAGCCTAATTAATTAAGGTGATAATTAATTAGGTGTCAAGGCATCAAGACAAACAATTAAAATATTTAATTAGCCTAATTAATTAAGGTGATAATTAATTAGGTGGGCTTTTGGAGATGAATGGTGCTAGCACCATTTGGCTGGGGGTCATTCTGCTAATAGCTTTGGTACCAGGTAACTAATTACTTCAATAATTTAAGTGAGCTAGGTACAATATTGGATACTACTGATAGCAGTCTAGCTTAACTCGTAAAATATTATCAGTGTCATTAAAGGAAAATAACGAAACTACATAATGCTCCATAATGTGCAGAGATGAGAGTGCCACATGCAGAAGCTAAAGTTTGTGAGGCGTCAAGCGCAGGTTTCAAGGGGCTTTGCACGAGCGATACAAATTGTGCGCAAATCTGCATCACCGAGGGCTGGACTGGCGGCCATTGTGAAGGGCTGCGCCGCCGCTGTATGTGCCAGAAACCCTGTTGAGCTCAGTTTGTTTGAGTGTCTTCACCTTGTTGGAAGTATAAGACTTTGTGTTATTTCATGGAGTGAAAAAAACTGAATAAGAGCAAACTAGACCAATTCTCAATTAATTACTCTCACTCTGATATGTGTTTCTCAACATTATGACTTGGTCTATTGGCTTGTTTTTTGGTCCGATCCTTATAGAAATAAGTATCAAGTGTACTTCGGTGCATAGCATTAAGTGTGCACCAAATGAATATATGTATTTAGATCATTAAATTTCGTGATTCATGCACATATCTAAAATGTTGATATCCTATAGGTACACATTTAATGTCGCGGGCTGTTTCCGTAAGTTTACTTGTGTCCAAAATTATGTTTAGCCTTGGCCATTGACCATTTGCAAGTATTAACTTGTATTTAAAATGTAACTTACAACAGAGAAGTCAAATTACAAAAGTACCATATGTTTTGTAGAAATGCAACCTTCTCCGATATTGAACAGTAAAAAACTTAAATGACATGAACAAGCCTTTTGTTAGAAAATCTCCTGTTACTTGCTTTTAATGAAGTTGTCTAGATTTAGATGTATAAGTTAATTATAGTCTCTTTTGTCTAGATTTAGATGTATAAGTTAATTATAGTCTCTTTCTTTTTAGGATTAACCTAATTTGTTACCTATTTCCTTTATTAGATGTTTACTTTTCTAATTGTTCTTAATTAATGAAAATACATAAAAATTCTTCTCCCTTCCCTTTCGTTTCTAATTTTTAAAAAGACTCTCGCATTACAAGCATTTACTTAATGAAACGATTGCATTTGTTCAACAGAAAAACACAATGGACAATATTTCACCAGATACAAACGAACGTCAATTAAAGCTTTATATGAATCTCTGGAGCAATACGCAGAAAGGATATGAATCCAGACATTTAATAATGAGCTAAAAAGTAAATTAATCAATGGTCATCATTTATTACCATAAACCAAAAGAGAAGTCAACAGAAATTTCTAATATAAATAGGGGATAAAAACTCTCACAACTCAGAGCAAGGTTACTACCTTAATCTTTTAATTAGCTAGTAAAAGCTAAGGGAAGTCTGTGTAGAATGATGAAGAAGGGCTCCCCACTTTGCGTAGCAACGTTGTTGCTTATCATCTTGGCTTCAGGTAATTCTATTCTTTCCTATACGCAACCCAAATTTTATTTGATGTGTTTTCAATTTACAAGTTTCTAAAACAAAATAATCAATTTCAATCTTTATAAATTCCTTATGCTTGCATTCAAATATTATACCGTCATTCTCCTATCACTCAGTTTGGTGCTATTTCCCAACATGGTCTTTTTTATTCCAAATAAGATTCTGCGTTTTTTTTAGTAGTTAACCAGAACAAGATACACAGAAAAGTGGTGATAAAATTCTAATTGAGCTTTCAAAAGAAAGACTTTAATTGTTTATACCGAAACCCAAAATAAGCTAACTCTAGAAGCTCAAGCCGAGTTGGTAAGCTGTCTATGAGTAGTAGAACATGTCTCAGGTTCGACTCTCTTGGGGAGTATCCACAGGAAATTAATTTCTTAAAATATCTTAAATCATGCATTGAGGGGTGTTCCTTAGCGACGCTCGGAGATTTGATACCCATCATTCAAAAGATTATGGAGAAGTTCCTTCATCAAATCAAAATATACACGCATACATACATACAATTAATTGGTACATTTTATCAAATGCGGGAATGAATTATTTCTTTCATAACGGGATTGACTCTGGATTAGCTATATTTTCAGGCACAATTTTCACTAGATTAATATTGTAATACTCAGCCCTTTTACTATTATTATTTTCTATTATACTAATTAATTAATGAACATATTGTTGAAATAAATGAACATATTGTTGATATCCTTCAGTAACTCTCTACAAGAATGAAAGTGGAGTCTCTATATCTCAATTGAGATATTCTCAGATCATTGGAAGCTTGATGTATCTTGCAAATTGTTCGAGACTGGATATATCTTACTCGGTTTCTAAATTAAGTAGATACACTAGCTGTCCAAATAGGACTCATTGAGAGACCTTGGATAGGATACTTCGATATCCAAAGGGAACTGTTTCTCTTGCGCTGCATTACGGTAGATTCCCTCCCGTTATGGAGGGATACAGTGATGCTAGCTGGATTGCTATGGGTTCAGATAGCAATAGTTGTGCAGGGTATGTATTTACCTTGGGTGACGGCGTTGTCGCCTTGAGATCTGTCAAACAGATCATTTTGTCTCGGTCTACGTTTGAGGCAGAACTTTGCGCTTTGGACACTACTGGTTTAGAAGCTGAATGGCTTAAGGGACTTATGTCCGAGTTGCCCATGACCAGCAAGCCTATTCCTACAATCTTTGTGCATTGTGACAATATGACCACAATTGCAAGAATTAAAAGTTTAAAGTATAACCGCAAAACTCGAGGTCATATCCCAATTACAGATTAAGACTGTGAAGAAGTTTGTTGATGAAGGGGTAATTGTTGTGAACTTTGTCAACCCCAAGGACAACATAGCAGATCCCTTTACAAAAGGACTAAAGTTGTCACTAGTCCTTAAATCCAGGTTGATGATGGGACTGAAACCCTTACCTAACTCATCGACAATAGCAACCCAACCTATCTGAGTGGAGATCCCACAAAGTAGGTTCAATGTGATAATAACAAACTATTGGGTAAGTTGAACACATAATCATATATTGATACTTTGTATCTGAGTCTATCATCATGTATACCTAGAAGGTGTTGATAACTGCTAGTATAGTAAGAGTATTTCGACTTTGAATTGGATCAAGTCTTTAAGACGAGATACAAGCAGTGCATCCCTGGAGATGCCCAACTATATGAACATAATTGTGTGGCTGTAATTAGAGGAAGGAGGTCATTCCTTGAAATTGTTCATGAAAAGGATAAGGACGCATGGCCATAATGAGTCAAACCTAAAGATTACTTCTATAGCCTATATTATGTTGTTACCAATGAATATCACCACATCAAAGGTTCAAGTTCAAGACATAGTTTTACTCCGTGCATGTGGTGATAAAATTGAATAACTATAGGGTTCAAATCGGAAGATACTTTCTCCGAAAGCATGATATGCAAAATCTTTATTACTTTCAAATATGGAATTGTGGGGGATTATTGAAATAAATAAATCATAGAGGGGTTTTATGAAAATAAGTCATTTAATGATTGGATTCCATAGATGAAAATTAAATTATGTTTAATTAGTAGTATGTGAGTTTTAGTCCCACATTGGCTAATTAAATACATTTTAGTTGGTTTAAATTAACACTCGTGTTATTTATGGTATAACAAATATGTTAGTATTATACACTTGTGTTGGTATATAAGCGAGCAGACACGTGCACACGGGCTCAGCGCGTGAGCCGGGCGCATGCTTTTTTTGCACGTACAGTGCTTTAAAACAACTTAAATGTTTTGTATGTGCTCACTTAAAACCAGCTGAACGTTTCGTACGTTACAAACGTTACAAGGATTTGAATATGTGTTATTGCAGACGTTACAAACGTTGCAATAATCGGAATTTAAATCTTTGTCTCCCCATGAACCATATAAAAAGACCTCTTCTGATCATTTGAACGAGACAGAACAGAAAACGAAGTCTTCTTCTTCGATCTTCTTCTTCTCTTAATAATTCTATAAGTTGTTTAGTATTTAAGATTCTGGCGATCTGAAGAAGCAGTCGAGGTGTTCACAATAAGAGAGTGCTTCTTCGGACTGCAGTCGTCTCATCATCGGAAGTACTGTGTAGACTCAACGTTACCGTAGGTGGGGCATAGTTTCTTCAAGGTCAGTCCTCTGTTAAGAGAACGATTCAGCATTTTTGTAAAGTATTTCTAACTTGAAGTGATTTAATAAGATGTATCTAATTTTCTGCTCTTTTCTTTCATTTTTATATGGTTTGTTTTGTTATCATTTGGATCTGTGTTTTTATGCTTGTTTTTCTCAACATATATGATGCATCGTTTGCAGAGATGATGGTGATTGTCAACGGTGATCTGTTTCTTTGCTTCGGCAATGCTTGCAGAGACACGTGCAGAGCGTTGGGATTTGACGATGGAAAATGCCACAAAAAATCCATCTTCAACATCTGTCAATGTTGCGAGGTGGTTTGCAAATTTAACGAATGATGCGCTGCCCTCAAATAAATTCAAAGAACTTATTTCCTTGTATGGATTTAGGCTTTGGCATCGATAATAAATGTTCGGAATTGTCGTTGGGAATTTTACAAATTGTTTCTTTTCCAACTTTCTCTTTTATCGTTCGTTGATGATCAGCGCGTGCGTTTGGCAGTCAGAAAGTAAATTGAAAGTTTCAGTAGCAACTGACATAGCATTCACTTTTTTATATGCATCGTGTTGTTTAAAATAAAAATAAAAATCATAAAAGGGTTATACAGTCGTTTTTATACTCAAATTAAAACATGGACAATTTTACAACACTGAGTATTCAGGACAACAACATATTCAGCCGAAATTCTCATGCATGTCTTATGCAATTAAAACCTAATTAGCTGTTTAAGGATGATCAAGTTGTCAATTATATGTAGTTAAAAAGAGTTTATGAATTATTAATTCATACATGTTACCAAATTATAAGAAAGGAAAAAGCGGAGGAAAATACATATTTCGTTCACAAGCTCATAAGGGAATCAGAGATACTCGTACCTTGAGCGATTTTGACAAGCCCTAAGAGCGATTTTGACCATTGATCAAAGTAGTTTATAGTGGCTTATAAGTCCGTATATGAGATATTTGACAAGTGGCTTATTTTGGCTTATAAGGTACCAACAATAAACTAAGGTTACACTAGCTTTAGTTTTTGGTGGCTTATAAGCCATGAGGTTTGACAAAGTAAAAGACGGTTATACCCCTTACACAAAATTCTAACGCTTCATTTAATAACTCACTACTAATCCAGCCTACGTCTTTTTTGATCATCTTAACAACAATAATGGATTATAACCCACTCATTTGCTAAATACTCTACTATTAAAATGAAATATAGTTCACC